ATGACTGCAAATAAGATCTAAAACTCTTATTAATCGGTAACAACCATGCGTGAGCACCTGCACTGCACAACCTAGTCATCTTCCAACCTCTTTTTGAGGTTGAGGCTGGATAAATGAACCCAACACCTTACACACCTCAAAAGCCATTCATCTTCAAAGCTATCAGTTATTTTTATGATCCCAAGCTGAACTCAGAAGTGAACAAAATTGTGCAGTCTTTTCGACTTCGAACATGAGCAAGATCACATCCCTCCTTCAACCCAAGAGTGCCTTTTGCATTACTGAAGCAGTTATCTTCAATGATCAACAGTTCTCTCTCAAATCAGCGTTTTCCAACTAAAAACTTCCATCCTACATGCAGAGCTCATACCCAAATACACAGTACCCAGCACTAAACTGCATCTAACATAGTCTTACTAGATTTCTTATTGGATTTATCAGTTGACCATTCATTTCGAGTCATTCTCTAACAGTGACCTAATCTTCCTCCTCCTCAAATAAATACACGTACACATGTATACATATCCATGAACTTTGTATTTTAAAAGATAAATCTCACAGGCAAGGTTTGAGCAGTACTATCTACATGGGTTGATACAGATACTGAAGAAGACTGAAATGGACCCTTGGGGAAACCTACACTAGAAGCACTTCTGATCACTGATGTCTCCCCAGTAAGCATGACTTTACATGATGTACCATTAAAGATTTGTTTAACCTCTCTGACATGTTCTCTTCTATGCTCTTGTTTTAAATAAAAAACTGGTCACACAAATTCATTCAACTGCTCAAGCAATGTTCCAGTATCTCGATATTGTTTTGCACAATCCTGTCAAAAGAGACAAAATGTGTTAGAAAGATACATTACCTTACAGAAAAGTCATACTGAATGACAGTAAACTCTTCCTTCAGATTCTAATGTTTTTTAATACTTTCCAAAATTATTTTTACATTGGGTCAACATTCAGATAATTAGCGTGCAGCTTTTTGAATCATCCCCTTGTTTTGTTCCAAATACTGAATTCAGTCCTCTCCAATTCCCCTAGCTTACAGAAATTGGTTAAAAATTAATATTAACGAATAGAAGAGTTTATTGGTATGGCTGTTGTCCTTGGGCATACCTTATCTATCTGTTAATGCTCGCTTGCTTGGCTTTTTTGTTGTTGCTTTTTTTTTAATAAATATTAACAAGCACTATCTCATCCTCCTTCATTATAAATTATGTACAAAACCAGATATGGTAAAAATACTTCCTATTACATTACAAACAAAGCAAGTACTATGCAAATATTCTGTTTTTAATTTTAAAATACTGATTTTGTACTGGACCTATCCCTTCTTAGACCTTTGTTCTTTGCATGTAAATAACTGACACTTTCTCCTTTGCAATTACATCACCAATATCCCAGAGATTCATGTATTTTCTTTCCCACCTAATTCTTTGCTTAAGTAATTACATTCGCTGCTACTTCATTCGTCCTTCCTCTTCATCCTCCCTGTGTGGCGTGCAGATTGCTTTATAGTACCACACTTCCATGACCATGGAATCACACCTTTGTGGCCATCAGGATGATTCTGCTGAATGCTTTATATTAATGCTTCCCTCTTTTAAATGTACCTTCCCAGTTGGCTATCCTGCCAATTGTTTAAACTAAGAAACAGACTCTTCTAAAGCTCCTTGCATTACTGACTGATGCCATATTCTATTTGCACAAAGTAAATACAGACAAATAACAATCACTGGTACCTAGGCAACCGTGGGATTTCAGATCAGCTATTAACTCTTCTTTATCTCCTAGAACAAGGTCAACTATTGATTTATTCCACACTGGGTGCAGAACTGTGTGCATTAAAAATGACCTATTCTTTCTAGAAGCCTTCTTGAAGTCTTTCCATCGGCATCACAAAATGTCAGGTAAATATTACCTGCTCTAAGCAGCCTATTTTATTTGCCAGCCCATAAGAAGCATATACTTAAGGAAATGTTTGTTCCATCGCAGAGGGTATTTCGGGTACCTGTTAGAAACACGTGACAGGAGAGAGATGACTTGAAACCCAAAGAACTTGAATTTGTCAGGAAATCCTTATGTCTGCAGCTCTCCCAAATGGCGATGGTTCGGAAAGCATTATGTAATTTCCACTTAATCACACACATAACAACATATCTGAAGTCCACCTCTACTCAGGACTGGATGAAGGCATCAGCTAATGTTTTGTGCCTCAGGACTGGGCTGACCTCTCTCACATGCTGTTCAGTCCTCAGGGGACTTCTTTCCTCCTATTCCCCACCATCACATTTATTTCTCCCTCCTCCGCTGCCTTGCTGTCTACCCAATTTCTCTCACTGTACAGTAGTTTGGGAAAACCACTCCAGGCAAGGATTTTGAGTCTCTCAGATATGACGTTGAAGAGATGTGACCTGACACACGGAAGGGAGAGGGAGAAGATGGGGGTTATAGGCAGCCACAGCTGAAGATTCAGACAACCATGAGTCCCCCAAAGGAGAAAGGGTTGGTTTCAGTAAGTCACCCAAGGGAAAGCATCCTGATCCTGAAAGAGAAATGGGAGCAACGAGGATTCAGACAGAAACGCTCTCCCGCTTGAGGCTCTGAACATGCTGAGAGAAGCAGCACAGAGAAGAAGCAAGAGCTGCAAGAACCATTGATTATTTCCTCAGCAAAGCAATAAAGTTTTTCCTTACAGGAAAATGGCACTTTTTTTTAATGTCTCAAAAGATGGATGATGGTCTGGTATGCATAATTCTCAGAAAACACAGTGCCAGGTGAACTAGCAAAAAGGTTTTATAGGGAATACACCATTTACCTAAGTCAAAATCACACCACCATGCAGGAACTAAAGATGACATTCAGACAAAAAGCAAACCAAAATCAGACGACTTGGGGAGCAACAGAAACTCATATAGTGCACAGAAGGGATTAGAACTGTGTAAGTGGCAACATCTGGGTCCCCAAAAAAGATAAGAATCCTTAATGGAAGCAGCCAGGCCATATTTTCTACATGCTCCACACCAGAACAGCAGTTCATTCCTATCGCCTGTGTCTCTTCATCTCCAAAGCAGACATGAGAGTTGAGAGTCACCAAGACAGGGATGTTCTCGCCATTTCCATTTCATTCCTGTCCCCATGCCAGGAGTATAGGGAGGAAAGTATCAGTGCAAATGTGTATGAAAGGGTCCAGTCTTGAGCAAAGCACCAGGCCCAAGGGAAAGGGCAGCACATACACAGAACAGTTTATGTAAGTGATACAGCTCCCAGGAGAGGGGAGAAGCAGCAGCACAGAGCAGGGAGTGCTAAATACAGAGTAGAGCAGGTGGTTCAAGAACTGGCTGTGATTTCAGCAACCAGTTTATCCAAACCGGACGGAAATGCTGAACGCACGGCTCTGAAACAGCAAAAAAGCAAGCTAAAAAACACAAGCAGAGCAGGCAACTGAAGACTCTGCAATCACAGACTGCCAGGAGATGAGTTTCACCCTGAAAACATTCCCACAGATGTCAAAAGTGCAGCAATCTAATGCATGAACAAGAAGGAATGCCAACCCAGGCCTCCAGCAATAGAATCACAGAGTTGTAATTTCAACTGGGACCTATTTCCAGAGGTCATTTAGTTCAACACCTGCTCAGAGCAGGTCTAATGAGATCAGTTTGGCTGGGCTGTACCCAGTCAAGTCGATCACCTCCCAGGATGGAGGTGTCTGAAGACCTGCTGACGTCCCTCTGAACAGCAGCCCTGCCCTCTGGCATTTTAACAACTCCTCAATTTGGTATCATCCACAAAATAGCTTCTTACGGCTTAAAAATAAATAAATAAATAAATAACAAAAGCCAACTATGTCTCACAATATACAGCAACTGAAGACCATCAGTGAAATTTTCAATATTTCTGCCATCTCTATAGTCCAAGCAGTGAATCAATAATTCCGGTTATTCCTTTTTCATGTGTAAGTTTAAGCTTGAAGTCGAAATGTCAATCTGACACACTCAAAATACTGTAACACCACTCTCCCTGTGACAGTGCATACACATACACAGATGTCTAAAGGGATGCAATAGCTGAAAGTGCAGCATGGTGCAGAAGTTGGAGGAACAGCTGGCTACATGTTTAGGATCAAGGACACAAACTCAAAGCAGCACGGTAAGGCAACCTTAGCTTTGTTCTTTCCTGACTTGAGTGCTCTGCCCCGCATCTCAAATAGGCAGCAACATTTTAAGCCTGTTACCTTTATAAAGAAGTATTTCTGAAGACTTTGAAACACATCATCAACCAAGAACGCTACCATCATACCAACAAGTCACAGAGTCCCGATGATGATATATAGCCAACTTCACCTAAATGTTAGGTCATGAGGCACCCAGCTCATCTGTGTCCACATGGAAAAAGTCACTGGCTATACTCACGTAAACTAACCCTTCCCCAAAGAGCTTATAAACTGGGAAGATGAATTGCACATGAAGATTAGGGGAGACAAAGTATTCCATCAAAAGAAACAAAATGTATATCATACCCAACTCAAAATACCATCTGACTTGCACTAGCTTTTCCACATGCAATTACCAGTTGGCCAGCTCCTCGCAATAATTTTTCATCACAAAAGTGCATCACGAGGAAAGACAAATATTTCAACAAGTTCCTAAGCAACTGAAAAACAGTGCTTTGTGAGGGATATATTAAGTCAATGTTTAATCCTAGTCTTCACTGGGAAATAAGGTAAAGTTTTGTTGTGGTCTTTTTTTTTTTTCCTCAAGCCAGTTATTAGCTTATAATTAACATCTCTGTATGAACAACACAGAGTTTTCATGTGCATTGACCAAATGCTACTAATCACCCTAATTTTGCAACAATTTTATAGGGTGCTGAGTAAACCAGGACAGGGTCAAAAGAAGGGCTTTTTCCCCAGAGAACGTAAATAAGCCAGCATTGTAGATTGTGCCTGTGGTGAAGGAGAACCTGCTGTGCCTTGAAGGGCTTTAGCAAACTTACCCCAAACATCTGTCGAAGGTCAGGATCTCGAAAGCGGAAGGGAATGTTAGACACATGAAGTCGCTTTGGAGTGGATTTGCTCTCGGTGTTCTCACTGCTCTGTGTCTGTGATTGCTGTCCATCTGTCTGTGCCCCTCCTTCTGTCTGCTGAAATCAGAAAGACACAAGTGTGTGCATGAATAGAAACCGTACAAATTACTTCAACGTGCTCCGTCCATCTCTTTTCATGTATTAGCACTCTATTTGTGACTGCAGCATCTGAGTACTTGACAATTACTTTGATAAAGCCAGCAATGCTTAACCATTGATTTGTTGTTCTTCTCTCCCTTTTTCACAACTAAACAGTAATGAGATCTCATCTTCTTTCCCCTCCTATCACCTTTTAGCTTAGTAGATTTGCCTTTGGTTTTCTTAAATTGCTTCTCTTTTCCCCTGCTCTTCCTCACTTCAGCTGCCACCGTATGAAAGCTCTAATGAAGAGGCGGATCTTCCGTATCCTGAAGCTGGGAGGTAGTACCGCCGCTCTAATCCCATGTGGCAGGATGTTCCTGCAATCATCAAAATCCCACAGCTGAAGTGGCAGCTCTTCACCGGGCCAATACCAGAAATGCATCTCCAGGCAAAATGGCATCTGCTGTCAAGCTCCCTTCAGAGAAACACCACCCCCAAAAGAAGGTCTATAATTAAACGGTAAAATCCATGTATCAACAGCTTACGGATGTCTTTGATTAACTTTTCGAGTACATTTAAAAGCCATCCCAGGGACAGGAAACAGTCATTAGTGCTGGTGGATTTATAAAAACCTCCAAATGTTACTTTCTGCTGCCAGCTCCACAACTGAAATAAAGGAATTGGGTCTGGCACTCCCAAGTGGTACAGCAAGCCAGGGCAAGGGTGGGCTCTTAATACTTGTGCACAGAGAACGTACAGCAAGGAGGCAGACGTGTGTGCCAGGAGACAGACCTAATGGCCCCACAGAGAAGAAGCAAGGAAGAGAACTTCAGCTGTTTGTGCTGGGCTGAAAGTAAAAAGCATAACTCAACAGGCAAGGGACTGTCCCTTTGCAAAATGCACTGATGAGAAAACAGTAGGGGTTTTACAATTCAGTCAAAACCACACCAGCAAACACCCAGAGCCACAGAACAGAGCAGACTATAACCTGGCCAGCCTTATTGTTCTGCCCCTGTGCAAGAGCAAGCAGTATGATGGGTAAAGGTATTCAAAGAGCATCCACCCAGTCACTGCCATCTCCTATTGCTTGCCTCAGCCCCGTGGGACTAATGCTCTCACACTTGTATGATGCACTTCAAAATGTCTTTTCCTTTCTTTAGGTGCCAACCTGACTTCCTCCTTAATTCACCAAGTGAAAAGAAGCTCTATGAGAAAGAAAGACTCCGTAATTGTTACTTAGCCTTCTTTGGGCACCTTCAAGCCTTAAAACTCACAATTAAGAAGTAGGGGGTTGTTTTGGTGAAGGCCTCTGTTTCCTCTCTTCTTTCTCTAGATATAAGTTTGTCTACAAAAAAGGAAAGTATGTGGAGAGTTGCACTGGTTCCCCAACCACTGTCCAGGCACGCTAGACTGCCCTACACATCATCTCATATACAACACTTGGTGATACTTGGAACAACAACAAAAAAATCTCATCTCTCCACAGATACACTATCCTGGCAACATTAAGAGAGCTTCTTCTGGCCAGACATGTCCTTGACAAATATAACCTTGACCTTGTACAGTGGTTATAATGGACTGACAAAAACAAGCTAATAGTTAAGCACTGGCCTCTTGTGCTGAGCAAAGCAGTGGCAGCTTTCCATATTGTTTTAGTAGGACAGCGTAAAACACATTTGATCTGATTAATATAAATTAAGCTGTGATAGGAGGAACAGCAATACTGCCCTGCAATTATCTCTACTCCCCAGAGCCATGTGAGTCTCGGGAGAAGCCCAGCGGGATGAAGAATTTTTATTTGGCCAAGGCTCAACCCCTCTGCTCCTCAGATATCAAATTTTCAAGAACAACCTCACGACCTTCCATTTGACTGTATCTAAAAAAGAAGCCACCCCCTCTTCAAATCCCAGCTCTTCTCCCACCCCTACCCCTATGATAAAATGCATCTCCAAACACAGTGTGCACCCTAAGGGAAGAATCAATGCAGCTGACTTGTGATTAAATCACACCATGCTATTCGGTGGTTTTATTTTTATTACTCCATCAGAGTCCTTTGCTCCTCAGGGTAAGTCTGTCCAAGCAGGACAAAGCACAGGGGTAGCCCATCCATCACCACTGCACACAATGTCTGTGTCGCAGGGAGCGCTCCAAAACAACTCCCCCAAAACCACTGATGCTCCTGCTCTAAGGCATCTCTTCCTGACCCATTTTCAAGCGCGTTCTGGAGTCTTGATAGAGCAATTCACCACATCCTAAGTCATGCACAGAATTGGCAAATGGACAAACATTCACATGCTTCATCACTGAATCTTCTGCAGTGGAATTAGGAAAGGCAGAGACTCTGAAGAGCGACAGCAAGATCATGTTAGATCCTAAATTGAAATATGGATGGCATAGGACTGGTCCTGCTGCTGCCAGAGGAGACGGAGCCGGGAGGTTGCCTGCACTCCTCTCCCAGCCATTTGTTCCTAAGCAGAGGGCAGAACTCCTTTCTTACCAAGGGTGCGATCTATCATGTACAGTGGCCTGCTCAAAAACACTCACAGCTGTTCCCGCATATGGCAGCGTGCTGCTGTCACACAGGAGTCACTTTTCCAGCATGTGAGATGTGTACGAGACAAAGGCTTCAAATTGGAGAAACAAGAGAAGGGATGGGGGCCTCTCAGCCCAACCTCACCTTTCTGACAACGTTTTTGCAGGCCCTCTCATTTCCTTGATTTTTCAGCAGTAGTTTAACATTAAATACCTCTTCTCTCCGGATGCTGCAACCTCTCTCATTTCTTTGCATCCACAGCCCCAAGGTAAGAGCTGAACTTTCTGCCACTATAACATTAGCTGGATACATTTGTCTACTGCCACACATCCAGCTACAACATCAATGAAAGAAACAGTCTCCTCAGATCTCGCTTTCCTCTCCCCCGCTCCTTTTATAGTTATTCCTTGTCTTAATTCATTAGGAAGGAGATGAAAGCAAGGGCCCGGAGCCCGTTCTCCAGCGGCACATAATGGAGACTGGCAAAGCGCTGCCCTGACCGAGCCCAAGCTTTTATCATCGCGTCTCACCCAGCACCCGCTCCTCACCCCGACTCCTTCCCTTCCCCACATCAGGTTTTGAGACGCAGAAGGGAGCTGACAGCTGTTCCCTGGCTCTCAGAACTCGCAGTTGGGCAAAGGCCCCATGTTTGGAAACAGCCCTGGATCCCCGCTGCCTCCTCCCTGCAGTCTGGGTAACATATACTTATGCAGCGATAATGTCATTCATGGCTGCACACACAAGCTCTGAGCTGTTCAAGGTCACTGAGAGCTGCACCGCAGCTCAGCACGCACACAGGATTTGCTTCGCTCGACTCCTCGCTTCCTTTGCCCCCGTGCCACCTCCTTGCACCCACTGGCAGTAAAGAAACCCTAAGCAAGAAGGGGCTGTAAAGGGAAATGTACATGAAAGGGGAATGGAGCATCTCGCAGGGCTTGGAGAGCTGTACAGCCACCTTCCTGCCTCCCAGACAGGCTCTTCTTCTCAGAACAGCTGGCAAACAAGCCAATGCTGAAGGATTTCTTCTTGGAGGGAGGGGAAGCAGTGGGTGCACCTGAGCCCAGAGTGGACATCCGTCTGTGCCAGCAGACAAGGGGGCCACCCCACCAGGAGCAAAAAGAACCCTCACCCCACAGGCCAGCACAGAGCACACACCGCTTCCCACTTGCTTCTTCTTAACTGGAACTGCTTCAGGTTCAAGTTGTAGCAAATTGAACAACAACCCCCTGACTTCTTTCCCCAGGAAATGGGTACTCCAAAGGCTGAGAACCATCATGAACCATAAATCATTGCAAAAGAAAATATTTACAAAATACAAGCTGTAACTAACAGCTATATTTAAAAGGGGACTTGGGGTGGCTCATCTGAGAGACAGACTGTGCTCACTCCACTGCTTCTAGACCAGTCTTGGATGCATAAAAAACAAAAATGTCTTAATGGGATCAAGACCCTGAGGAACTGTGTGGAGACAGGGACTGCACGCTGGGGCTGGCAGAAAGCAGCCTGCCCGCTGCCAGGAAGAGTGCAGGGAATGCTGGAAAATCTCTGCAATTCCCACTGAAATGCCTGGGTCAAAACAACCAGATGCCCACCACCAAACAGACACCCACAAAGATGATTTGGTGGAAAAATCCACCAAAGGAATTGGGCACTGGATAGCAAAACCTCTCCTGTCTTATCATACTGCATCTGAGCAGCGCTGAGCGAAGGACGCAGGAGCTCCCACTGCTTACAAAAAATGGCTAAGGGTATACCCAACCACTTCTGCTGAGCTTTTCACTATTTCCATTAGCTACGGTAACCTTGGGTGTATTTGCTTCTGGCTGTTACCTGGGTAAGAACACAGGAATGGGGCAAACACTTTGTGGTGCTCCTCTGGCCTCCCACCCTGGAGGTCTCAGACTCCAGCAAGCAGGAACAGGTCATGCCTTCTTCATAGCTGACCGCTGGCAATGAACCCACTGCCCATGAAACGTTCCTGCGAGCCTTATGAACCCATTCATACTCTCAGCTTCCAAAGCATCCTGTGAACACACCAGGGGAGGTTTAGGTTGGATATCAGGAAAAACTTCTTTACAGAAATGATTGTTAAGCGCTGGAACAGGCTCCCCAGGGAGGTGGTTGAGTCACCACCCCTGGATGTGTTTAAAAACCATTTGGATGTGGTGCTCAGGGACATGATTTAGTGGAGGGTTGTTAGAGTTAGGATAGTAGGGTTAGGCTGAGGTTGGACCTGACGATCTTGAGGGTCTTTTCCAACCTGAGCAATTCTATGATCCTATGAACAAGAGTCCCACACCTAAATTCTTCATTATATAGGCAAAAATATGAAGAAAAGCTGTGAGTTTTGTTGTTGTTCTGTTTTGCTTTTTTTTTTTTTTAATATGCACAGCACAGGGCTATTTCCTGCACGCATCCAAGTAAGTGAAAGCGGTAGAGTTCTCAACACTACTCAGTATTCTATGCATGTCACATCCCTTCACTCGTCTATCAGCTCTTTTCCTAAGTGAAGATTTCATTTCTTCTCATAAAGAACCTGCTACACCCTTTTCATCACCACTATTATCCTTCTCTACGCTGCTTCTGGATCTCCTCTAACCTTTGAGAGATACACAGCACCACCACGGCTGTATACGCACACGTAATGATATTTTCTGATTTATTCTCTATTTCTCCTTTGAAATCATTTTTAAATCTGCCTCACTAGACGCAAGTCTGGAAAGCGCTGACAACCAAAATAATCTGCCTCGTACTCAAAGCAAATTTCTGATGTTAAATGTCAGAGTTTTCTACCTCCAGACAACGATTTCCAATCTGTGGTGTCTGAACAACCAGCAGCTACATACTTAGTGGGAGCCTGCTCCTCCTCACATCTACCTGCTTAGCTGTATCAAAAGAGTACCCAGGATCCTCATTAAGCATATCTCTCACCTGAAATACCTCAACAAGAGCAAATGCTTTAATTACTGAAGTGATGAAAAATAATTACAGAGGAAATTTTTCCTCTATTTCAGACTAGGTAAAAAATACCCGAGGGAAAGTCATCCTCATAGCATCATCATAGAACGGTCAGATTGAAAGGGACCTCAAAGCCCACCCAGTCCCACTCTCCGCTGTGGGCAGGGCTGCCAGCCCCCAGCTCAGGCTGCCCAAGGCCCCATCCAACCTAGCTGAACCTTCAGGCATGGAGCACCCACAGCTTCTCTGGGCAGCCTGTGCCAGTGCATCACTGCCTTCTGACTGAAAGATTTCCTCCTAACATCTAACCTAAATCTCCCCTCTTTTATAGCCTTTTCACTTTGTCCTGTCACTATCAGACAGTGTAAAAAGTCATGCATAATAAGTTGAGGAACCTCCATAATGCTGCTGGCTCCCTCCCTTCTCCACTCTTGGTGGACGCCTGGGCCACAGCCAGCTGACCCAGCAGCCTCCCATCTTGCTTCCAAACGCAGTACACAGGGGTCCCCCACCACAGATGTGTCTTCACAAAACCTGGAAGACCCTTTATGGTGTGGCAGATGAGTTAAATATGCCTCAGTATGGCGAGTTGAAAAGCCGAGAGACACGCTGCTCTGTAATTAAATAATGCTTTATATTGGTTCACGACAACGCAGTGCCGAGGCGACAGCACCTGCCATTTTCATGCAAAGTCATTTGCATAAACTTACTCCTCGACTTCCATAGCTCCAGCTGCATTCTGTAATTTATACAGACACACAAATTCTTCCCTCTGACATTAACAAGAGAAACGAGCTGAATAATCAGCTCACAGTATTAAGTGCAATGCATTTACTATCAAGCAAGCTTTTGTAGCTCAGCGATGATTAATCTTCCCTCTGCGGGTAGAGCACTGGGAGATGCAGCGAGCTGACAACTGCTCTCGGCTCCTGGCCACGCTCTCCATGCACCTACCTTGAGACAACAGCATGTGCTGGATTCCTCCAAGAGCCCCTCTAATTCATTAACCCAGCGAAAGAATTGGACAGCTTTCTGCCGGGTCAGTGAATTCAAGTGGCTCACGTGAGGAATGCCAGAGCTGGTAAACAGGAGTGGGAATTTGTGCTGGGAGCCAGATCTCTCCTTTCTGACAGCGGTGAATCTTTAGATCAGCTCAGCTGCCAGAGGAGCCACGGCCTCGTTAGCATCGCTCCCTGGGGCTCTCTGCGCTGGGTGTCTCCAGCAGGGAGAACTCGTGTAAACCAAGAAAAGGGAAGGTAAAGAAGCCAGGCAGCCCAGCACTATAAAAAGTGAAATGCAGAGTGTCAACAGTTTAAGAGACAGGCTGTAACAAGCAGAGCAAGTAGGCCAAATATGGTCTGCTACCTCGGGCTATTTTTAAGGCAGGTCTTTCAGCTGTGCTTTCGGACAGTATCAAGAGAAAGGACAGATGCTCGGAGATGATGACCAGGAGACCCACATGCCAGACAAGAAACAAAGCTCCATGGATGAGGCCTGATCCTAAAATAAAAAGGTTCCAAAGTATTAAGCTGTTTGTATTACACCACCTATTGTGTCAATTCCTTTTCCGTGCCCCTGCTCCGAGAGCTTTGAATGCTTTCCACCACACTCTGGCCTCCAGAACCAAGCTCACCCTCCGCTGATGACACCAACCAATCAACCCCCTTCACTTGGGAGCTTTGCTCAGCCTAGAGGAGCACACAGGAAGGCATGGACTTTGACTACCAAGGTTTCTTTTACTTATGTTCACATCTGCTGCTTGACCTCAGCCTTCCGGATCACTGTGTATTAACTCAGCAGATCCCACAGCTAATCTCAAGTCATTCAATCCAACTTGTTTGTGAGATCCTGAAAAGTTCCTATGAGAAGACACCCCCACGCTGTACAAGGGACCCCAATACAGACCCCACTACGCTGCTGTGTAAGTCAACACCAACCAAATGATATTTCTCTTTCCATGAGGGACCTTTAAGTCACACCATATTCTGTTACTTCTGGAATTCTCCTTAACATTACCAGCCTGAAAAGCCAAAAATCCACACAACCTCTGCCATCTCGCTCTGTCCTGCCAACAGGGCAGCCATACAAGCCTTGTTCTTAAAAGCAAGGAGGGACCTGATCCGCCTGACCTAAGGAAATGTGTGAACTATCCCATGGGAGCACAGGCTTGCAGTCAGCGGCTAAAAAACCTGCCAGATATTTAGTCAGGGGTATCGCCTTCGCACAGATGACAGCAGCTGTGCTTGTCAATCCCAATAATGGGAGGGGAGGATCGCATATCACCCGCAACGAGTTTTTGCTATGTTAAAGTTAGCACTGGCATTTGAGCAAGGCAACAAAATGAAGGGAAAGCTCCTTAAAGCATAGCAGTCTATTCCACATAGATTGGACGTGTATGTCAAACAAGCAATAACCAGTCTGTGTGACAGACAAGATGCTTGACGTTAGCTGTAGATGTTCAAGATGAAACAACCAACCTGTTCGGCTGTATTTTAACAGCATGCTTTAGCTTGAGCAACTGCTGAGCCTTCTTCCTCCCCCTAGATCCTACATCATTAATCAGCATACTGAGAAGGAGAAAAGTTGCAAGCAATTACATCCCAAGGCACCCTACGGAATGAAAATAAATTCATACAGTAGGGTTCCTGCACAGAGAGATAGAGGGACAAAGGCGATCCAAAACCCAATGCATAACAAGTGTGGGAATGCCTGCGGCCGAGCTGCCTTCCCCCTCCCCACGTGCCAATATCTGGGATGCTCTGGGTTCGAGCAGTCCCAGCTGCACCCTCACTCCCTTCCGGCCATGGAGACTGACTTTGCACGCTCAGCTTGCATCTTTAACCGCGTTAAGCGCTCGCACCAGACGTGCCCACCTGCTCCCAATAACCAGCATCATGCATTACCCTGCCTGCTTCCCAGATCACCTCTCCCAGTCACGCTCCCTCCTGGCAACACCAGCTTCTCCCTGCAGTCTCCCAGCAACGCTCCCTCCCACACACAGGCTGCTCGTCCCCATCCCCGGTTGGCGCGCACACGGCGGGCTGCGCAGAGCCGGCGCTGGCTGATGGGAGGCAGAGCCAGGCCCTGCAGCACTGTGGGGACGGCTCCTAATAAGGAAGAGGAGCAGGAGGTTTGGCGAGAGCCTGCAGCCAAGGTCAGGGCTCACATCGCTTCCATTAAAAAAGAAAGGCTCTCAAGCTCTGGGCAAAGATGGGAAGAGCAAATGCCCACAGGAGAAAAGGCACGGCTCCAGTTTGCTCCCCATTTCCACTCTTCTCATCGACCCAGTTGTCTGTTGGAGATGGGCAGCCCAGATCCTCCAGGCTCAAACAACATGCCTTTATGACAAACTGCATTTCTGCATGCTGTACCCTGCATCGGCCTTAGGTTTTATTTCCAGCCTGATCTCTTCTTGTCTATGTTTGCATTTGCCTTAGGCCAAGGAAGGCCTTTCAAGTTCCTTTTACACACTATCGATGTGCTTTACTGGGTTTGTACCGTCTTCTTCTCCCAGCTGAGGCGTTCCCAGGATAAACTCAATGATAACTTATCAAAGCCATAGCTGGTGTTGTCAACCAGAGCCCACTGCAGAAGCAGCAAGGCCCCTTGCTGGGAGCCGTGCACACTCGGGCTGGCACTATCAGCTCTTCCCATCGCTGGCACTAAATTCACTCAGTACTTACAGGGGGGAAAATAATCTCTATGAGCCAAACACCCAACTACAAGCAAAACTGAAAGCATTAACAGATTAAATCCACCCCTGAGCACCGAAGGCTCTCACCATAAGGCTCTTTATTAGGAAGTTAAGTCTTAACAAGTGGCTTAAGGGGTGGATAAAGCTTTTCCCGGGATAATCTGTCAGCATGTTGCCCAGTGCCAGTTCCAGGCCACGGGAAGAAGAAAGCAAAAAACGTAAGAAGGTGAAAATCTTTGTTTGGTAAATGGACGCCTAGTAGCTGAGAGGTCCTCTCCTATCTTTGTCCCTGAAGCTCCCTGCCATTTTCAGAAAGTCAAAGAAAAGTGTTTTTCTACTCTGTTAGCTTCCTGAAAGCAGAAGCATTCCAGGATTACACCTACAATACACGTGCTCTCTCAAATCCTTCCTGCTGTCAACCTTCTAGAACTTGCCTCCACCACATTCATGTGAACCATGTACCAATTGACTCAAGGTAATTAATCTTTCTAGGAAAGACTTGTCTTTGGACAGCACCACCGTGGTAAAAGCACCACGATCTCAGGTGCAGTTGCAGGCATTTATTTACAAGGGAAACACGCAGAAGGGGAAAGATGAGAACGCGGCAATGAATCATCAGAACCCCTGGCTTTTTGCCATTCTCTCCTTCCCAAGCGTAGGACTTTCTGCACACTTGAGCAACAGGCAGCCACCTCCTGCACAGCTGCCCGTTCCAGAGGCACCGTTCCGCTGCCCCGCGCTTTTCCGCACTTACTGCGAGAGATCCGTTCTGCGTGCTGGCTGTGGTCGTGCTCTGCTCGCCGTGCGGCTGCGTGCTCCCGTAGAGCGTCAGATTGTGCTCGCTGGTCTGGCCTGCATAGTCCTGAGTGTGTGGCACCCCGTACTCTGTGGGAATCCCGTTCTGTGGGGGTGGCGGAAATGGGATTGTGGTGAATGGCTGCACCATTGCATCAGGAGTTGCTGCTGGCTCCTGGTTACCCTGGAGAAAGGAGAAAGCAGTTTATCACACCACAGAAGACGGATGGATGTATCAGCCTGAGAAATCATCCACAATCACACGTATGTTTCACAAGGTTCATGCAAATATCCCATTCGCTTCCACAGTCTGCTATTTTCTTCTCTATTGGGCCTTGCTCCGCTGAGTCATCACATTGGTTTTTAATCACACTTGGGCAACTTTCTCACTTCTGGGTGGCACATGGAGAACCATCTATGGGGTTTGCAACTTGCTCACACCTGAAATCTCATGAAAATGCTTCACATGCAGTAAGGCATTATTTTGAAAGGGTAGAGAGGCTCTGGAGTCTTGAGAATGGGAATGGAAGCACACAGAAGAGCAGGGTGCTAGGTCCATCTCCTCCAGCCCCATCTTCACAGCTCTGCACCCAGGCACACAGTGCTGAAGGGCACACTGTTGCATTACAGCAAGAGAAAGAAGCACACATCTGTGCAGCAGCCCCTTCCCCTGAGTTGGCAGCGATGAGCACCGAGCACAGGTGCAGCTTTTAGCACACCAACTGCACAACCCAGAAACAGCCAGCTGACTGTGCAAAATATATCCCCAGAAGACATCTCATCCTACTACTCCTGAAAAAACCCCGGCAGCAAACCCAAAGCCTGCAGCACTGCAGGGCTGTCGTGGAGGGGGCAGGAGGGAGCTGGGGGTGACCTTCACGAGCCACCCGGGTGAAGGACAAGCGTCTCAACATTGAAACCCAGCCCTGGGAAGCCCAGCCTGCTGCACTGCTCCTACTGCCACAGCAGCAAAACCCACAGAGAAGATTTATGAGAGCACGGCTGTTTGATTTATGTGCGTGTCAACAGACTAATCCTGATTTTAAATTTTGGCTGCTGTTCCAGCCCCTGGTCCTCCCCCTCAAAGCCCAGAGGTACACCAGCATGCTTAAACCAAGGGAGAAAAAGGGAGAGGGAGCTTGTCCTACAGACAGGAGACGCAGAGGGGAAATTACCGAGCAATCTTCAGCAGAGAGCGCACAGACCTCCCGCTCTTTTCCTCTGCCTGCAACCATCCCTTCCCAGCCCAGATGACAACCACAACCTCACTGCTCCTTCAGGTGTCGGCCCAGTGCTCAGCCTGCCCACCAAGGGCCACGTTTCCTGGAAGAGTCGGGTTCGCTCCTCAGATCAGGGCTGATCCTACTTCATTTGTGCTTACTCTGTCTCCTGCCCAGTCCCGGCAGTGGGGAAGCTACAGGCAGCCTCATCTGTGCTTAAAATCTGAGAGCCTTACCAGCACTTTGTTATACCCAATATCTAGCATGCTTCCATACAGCTCAGGTCTGCCTGTTTCTTTCATTTTAATCATAGCTTAACATCAACCGTTTAACACTGGATCCAAATACTGAACTGTCTGAGTTTTTGTTCGCTTGGGTTTTATTGCTGGTCTTTTTTTTTTTTTTTTTTTTTTTTACATTTCAAGAAATGCTACGACGACCCCTGGGAAGATGCCACAGCAGAAACTATTTCCAATCTTCTTAGAGCAAACCAGACTCACAAGCCCATGGCACCCGACAGGAGGAAGAGAATGTTAATTAGCCACCAACAAAACTTATTGTGCCTTCTTCCCAACAGTGTGGCGTTGCTCCCTAAAGGACGTACTCCAGCATTTTGTTTAATCTCACCCCTCGACTGCTTAAAATGCCAGCCCACAAACCTCGTATCACCGTATTTCCAACGTTCCCCCCTCCCTCGGTTAACACGGCACCCCTTCTAGTTTAAATGCTTTTCAACCTTTCAAATATTTTCTCTCCCTTCTTCAATTATCTACAAGTGTTTGAAGGATGAAAAATGCTATCTCTCTCTCTCTCTCCCCCCTATTTCTTGTGGTGTTTTGATAACACATTTATTTTAAGCTTAATCACATCTCACAAGCCAAAACAGCCTGACAACTTTATTTATTACTTCTCTCTGACCTTCCTAAGATTTTTAAATAAGGGATTTTTAGTGCAGAATGGAGTGTTTTAATACCATTCTAACTTCAGGGTTTTTTTTTTCTAATCTCATATTTATAATAATATTAAATATACTAAAATGCAGAAATCACGCCTCAGGTTATCAGTAAATCTATTGCTACTATGCTTGCCCAGCTTTCACTATCCAAAGGAGTACCTGTATTTGAAATTATTTTTCCTCTAGCTGTGATTACTTACACGTTTCCTGTCTAATTACTTTTTAACATTTTTATTTCCTTCACTGCTTCCTTCCTGCCCCCACTCATGTCTATGAAGGGAACTCCTAATGTGTTCCCCACAGGTTTCATGGTGTACTGATACCCCCCCTCTTCTGCCACTCTGCCCAATTTCAGCATTCACCCAACGCTTTGTATTTTCAAGAACACGCACAAAAAAATCCCACTTATGTTCCAAGAGAGAACCTGAACTCCTTTCCCTACCTCCAACCCTTTGCAGAAGGGTCCTGCAGTCAGAAGCGCTGATTTTCCCACATCCCAAGAGATACGAAGCGCTTCAACAAAACCCTCAGTGAAGGCATGCAGGAGGGAGACGCAACCAAGAGAGCCGAGCTGGAAGTATTTTGTCTATCCTGTCTCAACGACATGCCTCCCTGCACCACCAGCACTGCCTGATTTAGCTCGTGAACCTCTCAGCATCATGACTCAACATCGACAGACTGAGATGAATATGTCAAAGAGTAGTCACCATCCCCAAACGCACGCACAGATGCCATCGCGGGACAAAGAAAGCTCAGCTGCAGTTCCCACTAATTACTGCTGTTATCAACTTGTGCGATAGCATAAAATGAACCTAATTAACGTCCAGGCTCGGACAGACTCTTTTCGCAGCCACAACACGAGATGGATGGTGGTCTCCAGGAAGGAAGCCTGAGGGACACCCAGCTGCAGGAACAATTTTGGCAGCTCCAGGTTAGCAGATATGAATTCATACTACCACTAGCTGCCATCCCATGCCTACCAAGCAAGGATAGGCTGTTCCACACAACTGTAACTCAGAACAATTAACCAAACATACACCCCTCAGAAAGGGAAAAAGCCTCAGTACGACACAGTAACTGACAGTTCAAAGAAAACCAGAAACCCCTATGTTGTATACTCACTCAGCTCTCAGGCTCCCACAGGAAGCACTCACACAGAAGGCTGGGATTCAGAGCAGCTGCCTTCCTACCGAGCTCTGACACCGGTCTCACCAGCACACCCTGCCCAGTGCACCAGCAGGACACGGGACACCAGCCTGGGCTCCCAAACCTCCAGAGCTATGGCCGTGCCTCGAGGTGTCAGCTTCCCTTCTTTGGGCTGTGGTTTCACCTGCAGCTCATCCCACGCTTTGTTTGAAAAAACAATTCAGCTAAGCCAGCGAGAAATCCTAAACAGGGACACGTTTTTAAGAGCTGATGCACACGTACCTTAATTAACAAGCTCTGCGGCTCCAAGCTACGCAGCCAGGCGAGACGCAAACAGACGTAGCGGAACCTCGGTACCTCGCAGAGGGGAGGAAGCCAGGGACGCCTCAACCAGCACAATGTGGTTCCGCAAACGCGATTTCGGATGAATTCTTTCAGCAGACAGCAGGTGGTGATCCAAGATCACGGCACCGAGCGCGAGCACAAAAACATGCACAAAGGCCTCCCACTTCCATAAAGCTGTCAGCTAACAAAGATCAGTTTATTTTGTGAGGGGCTGGTTTTGTTTCGTGCGCTGGAGAAACGAGTGTAATCAGAGAGACGTGAAAGGAGCCTCAGAGTGAAGTGACTGTGGATCTCTTCTCTATTGGCATGCCAGAATTTGTACAGATAGCAAAGAGGAACAGATTAAAACGGCAATTCTGGTAAAACTGACCTGGTGCAATTTCTGCATGGACAACTCCATGTGAAGTGCCGTAAGCTCTGCGTTGTCCGCTACCTTACGAAGAGCCATGAGCTTCAGAGGAAGGCGCAAGGCAATGCTATCGTACATACACATCAAGTAACCTCTCCAAAGTACTCTTCAGCTTTGGAAACCCCCAAGCACTGCAATTGATAGAGCACAGGGGGGGCCAGCCCACTGTTGACAGGTTTGCCTTCACCATGCCTGTGTTATTAAGCCTGGGATGGGCTGCCTCCCATCTAGCTGCAGGCAATTAAGGTGTTTGTGACAACCGCTGTGCTCCCGGCTACGGCTGTTTGCTCTCTGCACAACCCTAATCCCTTCCGTAAATAGCAAAAGCTGCTCCTAGGTCCAATCTGCAGAGGCAACAGCTCAACCTGGAGCCATTGCCCAGCCCACACTGCCCCTGATCAGGACACAGGAACTCTCACCATTCCCCTCTGACTGGGTCACAGCTGGGCCAGGGGGAGCAGAGCGCACCCTCCCCAGGCTCCTGGCACTGAGGTCCCAACCTCCAGGCACACGCTGCCTCCACCCTCTGTGAGTCTTTTCAGCACGTATCCCAGAAAAAAAAAAGGGGAAAAAAAAGAGGAAAAAAGACTTGCTTTTTATTGTCAGGTTAGTTTTGTTCCCAGCTGAGAGCGTTGAAACATCTTGGCAAAGGGCGAGGAGAGCAGGAGCCAGAACAGTGAGGGAGTGGAAGAGCGGGGAGGGAAGGGCTAGGGGACATCAGCGGTTCTCACAGACCCTGGAACTGAAGCTATAATCTTTCAGAATTGTCCTTTGGCTCTTCAGGTCATGAAAACATTCAAAAATAAGCGATGTGTATGGAATAATTAGTGATGGCTTTTTACCTCCCCACATCCCACTAAACGCTGACCCAGCCACGTGAATTCCTCAGGTACCTGAGAACACCACACAAGCTCTTTACCTCCACTTTCCACATCACGGCCATTTCATTCCTGTTCAGTTTCTGAAGAGTTTTAAAACTTCGGGTCTTTGCTCTCTATCAATCAGCCCTTTAGCACCTATCATATAGGCAAAAAAAAAAAAATCTACAGAAGGAAAGTTGAGAGATGGAAAGGATGTACGAAGCTAAAAGGAAGGGAAAAGGAAAGCAG